TTACTACAATCTTCGCCTGTAAGTGGGACCTTCTTGGTCCTGTTGGACGATTGAATAAATAAATATAAAAAAATAAAATAAAATAAATAAATGGCAACTTTTAATTTTCTCTATATTTGGAAATTTCGAAATTTAAATTTTACTACCAGTAGCATTTTGGTGATAGGTTGGTGATATGAATTGGTGATATCACTTGATGATAGGTATGTGATCAGACCTTGGGATATGTTGGCGATGTATTAGTAACTTTTCTTATATGATGTATTTATGATATGATGTACGGAATGGCAAAAGAAATTGTAGTGGTTAGATTGTAATAGTTTGTTTTTGTCAATAGTTGCTACTTCATGACCCAACAAGGTTTAAAATTTATACTACAATTTTTTTATTTACGAAGGTTTCAGAGGATTCAAGCGTATACTGGGTAAGTAAATAGCTGATACACCATCTCTGAACTGATGATAAATTTATTCAATTAACAAAACATCGTAATAAATCTAAAGGAATTTCAAAGTTGTACTTACACCATTCACAATCCAAGAAGATATGAGAGAGTTTGTGGTGTTAGTTTTTCTGGTTACAGGATCTACATTTTATAAGATATATGTATATGAAAGCTTCGCACCTTGGAATATGGGGTTGTCGCAGTGCTTTGTGCACAAACCAATGCATTCAATTTGACAACATTCCAATTGATGTCCATTAAATATTTGTATTAAATAATTGTTGACTTCTTTACAGTGGAGATATTGCATTCGTCTGGAGAACCTAGGTACAGAAACTGTTCAGTTGCGAGAACGACATTGGAGGATATTCAGCTTATCGGGGACGCTGGAAACTGTGAGAGGCCGGGGAGTTGTGGGCCAGGTAAGGGGGCTAGCATTTGTCTTGAGTATACTTCAGGATTTTGTTGGAAGCACTAAAAACAGTAACAAAAATAAAATGGAGGTGTACGCTTTCAATTATATGGATTGTTAATTTGTGCTCTATATAAAATATGAGCCTGCATTTATAAATTAGAATGAGCAAATGTTTCCCATCCAATTAACAGATGCTATGCATTGTCTGTGTTGCTTTTGCAATTGTGTAATTGTTTGTTTTTTTTTTGTCTTGTAATAGGAACCAATTTTATCTAAGGAACAGCCAGCATTTCAGTACAGCA